GAGACTCCAACTCAAAAAAAAAAAAAAAAAGTGTTTTAATACTTACTCTTTATTCATCTAAGGATATCCTGGCTACATGGCTGAATTAATTAATTAAAGTCACATTTTGGGGAAAGCACATGACATAAACATTATTATTATTGTTTTGAGAAAATTCTCACAATGTTGCCCAAGGTTGGTCTTGAGCTCCTGGGTTCAAGCAATCCTCCTGCATCAGCCTCTTGAATAGCTTGAGTCTACAGGCATGTACCACCATACCCAGTTAATGAACATTTTTGATAATTTCAGCAGGAGAGGATGAGCAGAACAGTTGTTAAGGAATAACAAAATCTTGCAGTCATCAGCTGGTCAAACTTCCCTGCAGTGAGTATGAGCCACGGGTACAAAATGTTGTGAAACCAATCTGAAATCTTTCCTTGGTGATCTATGTTTTGGATAGTAAGAAATTCACTCCATGAAAACAGCAAGGACACAAAGTTCTGCCTATCCTAGTGAGTTTACACTTATGCTTGCTGCATCAGCATGTTCCAGAACAGTTATTCGGTTCTTAGTATTGTTAATTCCTGTAGGGGCTATCTCATCAGCTTTAGTCAGTGTCTTTCTGGGGGTAATAATGCCATAACAGTGATGTTTCATCAGCATTATAGGCTTGTTCTGACATCAGGCTTTTACCAGAAATGACTTAGGCAAATTTGTCAATGAATTTTTCCATTGCTTTGTGATCAGTAGGTAGTTTATCACCACAAATCTTTAAAACTTTAAGGCTTTGTCTTATATTTCTGTACCCAGCCTGTTGAATAGTCACAGTTACCTACAATTTTCAGCTCATCATGAGAGATCTTTGGTTCATGATAAGCACACCGATAAGTGGCATGTATTCATTGCAATGCTGATGGCTCCACTCTTTCAATATATGATCTAGACTTTCATGTTTGACTCTATAAATTGTTTTTTCCTTTTCAATTAACTTGTTATTTACTTTCATCACAAAACTTCAACAGTTTATCCTTCTGTTTCTTCAAGTTATATATGGTGGTCACTATAACACAATACTCTTCTGTAAGATATTTCACACACTGCTGTCTACTTTCTCTGACAGCTTGATTTTCTGTGCTATAAATATAAATGTATTATAAACAAAAATGCTTATCACTGTTACCCATAGTAGTATTTGTAGGCCTTTTTGACATTTTCAAAAATATCTTTATACTTTATACTATAGAGCAGAGAATAAGCAAAAAACACTGAGTAAGGCACATAGGTCTTGGGCCTGTACACAGACATTTCCTTACCCTTTGTGGGTGTGCCTGCATGAGAGAATCTGGGATGCACAGAAAAGACAGACTACAACTAGAGTGGGGGGGCAGGGAGGGTCTTTTTTCCCTTGGGCATGCTGAATAAACTGTGTTGTATACCAGTGTGCTGACTGCAACCCATCACATAATGTCACATAATATGGAATTTTTCACTTGTGGCATCATTTAGGCACTCAGAAAGTTTTGAATTCATGAGCACTGCAGATTTTGAAATTTTGGATTAGGAATGCTCAGCCTGTAATTGTATCTCATTTGTAATCTCTGCCTTTTGATGAATTATTTAATCCATTCACTTTTAATGTTATTGTTGCTATAATTGAATTATGTCTGTCATTTTATTTTTTGTTTTCTATGTTTTAATGTATTTCCCTTTGTTCTTCTTTACTCCTTTTGTTTACATTAAGTGACTATTTTCTAACATTTTAATTTTTTTTTTTTGAGTTGGAATCTCCCTCTGTTGTCCAGATTGGAGTGCAGTGGCACACTCACAGCCACCATAGCCTCATCTGCTGGGCTCAGGAGATCCTTCCGTCTCAGCTTCCCAAATAGCTGGAACCATAGGCATGCACCACCACGTCTGGCTAATTTTTCTTGACTTATTGTAGAAACGTGGTCTCACCAAGTTGCCCAGGCGGGTCTCGAACCCCTGGGCTCAGGCAATCCTCTTGTCTCAGCCTCCCAAAATGTTGGGATTACAGGCATGAGCCACGGTGCCTGGCCAACCTTTGTTTTTTTTTTTTTAAGCAGAAAAATCTACTTTTTTTTTGACAGTTGTAATTACTCAGTTTGGGTTGTTAATGTACATACCTTTTAAAATGTAATATCTTGTTTCATAACCTTATATATAAACAAGAACCAAAATAAGGCTTTGAGTCACTAACATTTTAATCTTTTAATGATTTTTTCACTTTCTCTATATATTAAAAAAATATATATATTATGTTTATATATATTTTATTATATACATTTTTTGCTATTATATATATCTTTTCTTTTATTTTTGCCTTGTGTCTGTCACACACATACCTACTTTCTGCTTTGCCAAGAAAGAGGTGTTTAATTGTGTTAACAGTTTCTTTCCCACAGAGGAATGCCACAGTTGCTACCACAAGAACAGCTGCAGACCAGTAGCTGTGGAATTTTTCACTGTACAATGTTTAGTTACTTTCTTAGTAGTTGCTCTATGGCTTATCATATATACCTTATCAAAATCTACTCCCGATGTATACTAATTTAATTCCAGCAGGATACTGCTCTTCATGGCTCTATTCTTACCCCTTTTGTGCTATTTTTATTGTACATATTAACATCTATATATATTACACATTCAACAAGACTTTGTTACAATGACTACTTTACATAATTTTATGTTTTAAAAGAAGCTGGGAGAAGAAAAAGAGCAAGTATATATATAAGTTTTTTTTTTCTTCACAGAATTGTTATGGCAAACCTTCTTAGTTACCATTTTGTGGGAGAGTAGATGTTCCAGAAAGAGGAAAACATGGACAGGAAGTATTTGAAGAAAGCTTTTCAACAGTTAAGAAAATATGAAAGTTAAAATATTGAGACTGGGAGGATTAACAGAACAACAAAAAGGCCAGAGAAGGAAAATACACAGCCTTATCAAATCTTTGGAAATTTAAATAATCTAACTGAAACAACCCCACGCATTCAAAATAGTGCATTAATGACAAATCATACACATGCATACTTACTGACATGGAAATGTACTGTATGTGAAAAATGTTTTAGAAAACTGTGTGTGGTATGATCCCATTTACCATGCCACATCATTTGAAGCATTGAAGGAGAGAGAAGACGGAAGAGGAGGAGGAATGGGAGAATAAGGGAAGGAGAAGAGGGCTGGGAGAAGAGATGGAAGGACATGTATCAAAATGTTAATTATGGGTCCTGGAGTTATAAACACATTTTATGTCAAGCTTTTTGATTGAATGTATTTTGTACCTTAGATACTTAATGTGTCTAGTATGTGATAAAAAATACATTTAAAAATTAGTTAATTCAGCAGAAATGTACAAAAGATGAAAAGGAAAGTCAGCTAAAATGAAATAAATGGTCAAATATATATATTTATCCGCATTTATAATTTTAAAAAGAAATACATATATAAATTCAGCCTCTCTAGTAACTGAATAAAATAAAATTTTAATTTATCAAATTAGAAAACAATTTTCAGAGGAAAATACCTAATGTTAGCAAGGGTTCTAGGAAATGTGTTAAATACTTTGTTGATAAAGATATAAACTGATATCATTTCTATTTTTAAAACAAAGCCTTACACTTTTTAACCTAGCAATTCCTTTTCTGGGAATTTATTCTATGAAAAAAAGATTGAATGTAATAACAATTTAGCTATAACTACTAGAAGGTACTTAGGAAAATATTCCATAAAAAATTTAGAGTGTATGGCAATTAAACTTTAATCTGTCTGGGAGATCATAAAACAATACAATCCACAGTGTCTACTCCCACACTTCATACAAATGCTGACAGGTCCTACTTATCCCTCAGGACCAGCTGTTATGCTACTTCACCTTAGTTTCTGGGTAACAGCACTTTTCTCTATATGCCATGACCATGAAGTCATTGCCTGTCTCCTTTCCTAGACTGAGATCTCTGAGAGGGCAGAGACTGGGGCTAATGCCTCTTAGTGCCCCCAGGTAGAGTCAACTCAACTAGGAATGTGTCATGAATTTTTCAATCTTTGTGCATGTGCTTAACATCTCGGCAAAGGGAATGTAGAAGTCATACCTGGTGGGGTTCCTTTTGTCTTCCTCAGAGATCAAAAACCAAACGAAATCTGCATAGCTCATCCTTCCTTCTTTCTGTACTGTTTTTCCCCTGAAGAAAACACATGGTTATGAAATCTCCTGAGCAATTACTCAGACACATTTAATTGGGTGGTAAAAATAAAATAACATTCTTCTTTGGAAAGTGAGTTAAAGGCCAGGCACGGTGGCTCACGCCTATAATCCCAGCACTCTGGGAGGCCGAAGTGAGAGAATTGCCTGAGCCCACGGGTTGAAGACCAGCCTGGGCAACTTGGCAAGACCTCATCTCTACAATAAATTAAAAAGAAATTAGCCGGGCATGGTGGCATGTGCCTGTAGTTCCAGCTATTTGGAAGGCAGAGGTGGAAGGATCACCTGAGCCCAGCAGGTAGAGCCTGTGGTGACCATGAGCATGCAAATACACCCCAGCCTGGGTGACAGAGTGAGACGTCAACTTAAAAAAAGTAAGTTAAAATTTTAAAAAAATTAGAATGATAGATGCTTCATAAAGGTCAGGCTTCCATGGCCTATCTTGCTAAAGGTCAACAGGGTGAAACCAGAAGGCATTTCAGAGTATGAAGAAAAAAAACCTGCTTCTAATTTGAATGCAAATAATAACTGGGATCAAATACTGTTACCTGTATTTAGATACAGGATTAACACTCATATTAAAGAATTACTGTCTTGTATTAAGCTATAGCTATATATTTTGTAGGCTAATATTTGGTCTAGTACCAAATTATGCAGGAAGCCTTGCTAAAATGAGATTGTTACAGTACTACTTGTAGTTCATTTTAAAACTCAGATTTTAAACTTTTCCTTACCTTGTTACTGCCCCAGAAAATATCCTTTCAATGATTCTGTTTGACGAAGCTACATATAAATAAGAAAATTACAAAGCTAGTTAGAAACATGCTCCATAAAGGCAATACTTTTGGCAAATTTATTTTCACTGGCTATAAGCTAATCCATAACAATCTTCTGTGATGAGAATATGAGTATATTCTTACTTATGTATAATGTATACTTCTTGGAAATAAGAATCTGAGACAGCTTTCTATCTGTAAATCAATACTTTTTAAAAAGAACAGTTGAATGTGCCTGACATCTGGGAAATATCAATAATGTTGAGCGCTAAGTTAATTTTGAATATCCAGACAATTAAGACAAAAATGTAAAGGATTTGTGTTGCTCTTATTATGCAATAAGATGAGCCAAATTTTCTATACAACAAGCCAAATTTTATCCTAGCATATTCGAAAACAATGTAAAATAAAACAAAGAAAAACAAGGGAGGATGCTTTCAAGTAAAATTTTACAAAAGATATTAAAACATACCACAAACATATTTTTCTCATATTCTCATTCTGTAAAGAAGTCCAGGATATAACATAAAATTTTTTAGAAATTCAATCACTAAGTTTTATCTATAGAGGCAGCTATATCTTTTTTTTTTCTTTTGAGTCGGAGTCTTCCTCTGTCACCCAGGCCAGAGTGCAGTGGTGCTCAAGGCCACCACAGCCTTGACCTGCTGGGCTCAGGCGACCTTTCCGCCTCACCTTTCCTAGTAACTGGAACGACAGGCATGTGCCACCATGCCTGGCTAATTTTTTCTTTTTGATTTATTGTAGAGACGAGGTCTCGCCAAGTTGCCCAGGCTGGTCTCGAACCCCTAAGCTCAAGCAATCCTCTCACTTTGGCCTCCCAAAGTGCTGGGATGACAGGCGTGAGCTACTGTGCCCAGCTGAGGCAGTTGTATCTTCAGATAATATGTGGCTTTTTGATGACAGGTCCTGGAGAATCTATAGCAGTGTCCTCATTGTTGGTTCAAAGTAACCAAGGCGTTAGTTTAAAAAAACAGACAGATGCACAGTGATCTCAGACCTGTTCTTTTAACCAGTGCTCTAGGCAGTATATGTACACTAAAATTTCAGGATCAGCAATAAGGTCCCTGGGGACTTGGCAGCCATTAGCATCTAATTCTTCCATACAGAGTCAGGTACAGCCACAATAAAGGTACATGAGTTTGGCTAAAGAAACTTAGGAACCTGCCTGTCAGTATAGCCATACCTATCCACACACCAAAGCCTACATAGAGATCTCTCTACTTTGTTGAACATTGGTTTATACGGTTAATAATTTGTACTAGATGGAAAAAAAGAGGGCTGTACAGGAAAGGCAAACATATTTAATTGCTAAGCTAAGTCTTTTTTAAAAGGCATTTTTTTTTTAGCTTTGGAAGGTTTAGCCTTCTAAAATTGAAGATTGTGTTATTCTACATTGTCTCACTAAGGACAGTCTGTGAGTAGATAATTATGCAGAACCTAGTGGCCCCTTCATTTATGCAAGCCTTGATCTCTGCTTTTCTGGATTTCGTCCCATCAACATGGCTCTAGGAGTTGCTGTGTGAGTACATACAATATTTGGGTTTTTTATAAGAATTATGGCTATATCAGCCAGAGAGGGAGTTTTAGAGTCATAGGGTTGGGTATGACCTATGGAGACAGGCTCATGTTGTATAGATAATCTGTTCGCTGGTAACTGGAAGGTGTGCAGTTACTAAAAGTCACTCGATATCCCTATGAATACCTTCATCTTTATGCTCGTCTGGTGACAGGAAGATTATGATTACTTGAAGAGGGGAGGTAACAGTACCAACATGTTGATCAAATAAGTACATTTGAGTATTTCCTCTTAGTGTCTGCTTGGCAGGTTAGAAATATTATTTTCATCCCTGGCTTTTTACAGAAATATTATTAGATGGGAAAGTTTATAAAAGTATATACATACTCTTTTTTGAAACAGAGCTTCACAGGTGTGGATCTTATTCAAGACATCTTCAGAAAATACACATCTCTAAACACTCATCACTGAGTGTTTATCAAACTGAGACTGTGATTGCATACTTACCTCCAACAAACCGCTTCTCCCATCCCTGGCATCTAAGTGTAAAAGTTAAATTATTTTCCCTCATCCTCTCTTAAAAATTCCTGGCCTTGTAAAGAGGATGTGATTAGATATAGAACTTAGGAAATGGGAATTTCTCACAATGAGTAGGGACAATTTAAATAACTCTTCAGAATGGTTAAATCTTAGCATGTATAACATCACTCACCCTGGTCATTGTATCGAGACAGGTCAGCCTGGCTGATGTAGAGGTCATGATCACTATCTAGTTCCCAGAATTTACAATAAATAACATAGAAATGTTCATAGGAGAAGTAATCTGTGATTTGGTTTATGTCTTCCTCTTCTTCCAAAAGGGCTAGAGTCTGAAATGGTAAGAAAAGAAGAATTAATTTTAAAATAATGAAAAACTGGCTTTGCCATTGTACAGAGTCTGGTGAATTTTTGTTTTAAATCGAATGAAAAACGTTGCTTTTGGTACCAAACCAGGAACTTTTTCATAGGCATCCTCATCCTACCTGTAGTTAACGAATCAATCCACAAGCATTTACTGAGCTCTGCAGTGAAGGGTTAGGTGCTGTGGAGGACATACACAGGCAGGGAAAGGGCAGAACCATCACCACGGGAACCGCAGCCATTCAGAATTCCACAGACTGGCAAGCACAGCACAGTTAGACAACTGTCTTAATTACATGGCCACAAACTAACGCTGGGTCTAGCTTTTCAAAGTTATGTGAGCAACATCAAGAGAAGTAGGCATCCACATATAAGGGTTGGTTTTGAATTGAAATCAAGTTTACCATAAAGGTTACTTTTATATACAACAGGGATAACACATGGTGGCCTGGCAGAGGAAGGCATGCTGGGTCGAGCTGCAGCACCCTGAGCTGGAAGTAAACCTAGGTCTTCCCTGACTCACTGTGTATGCCTAGAGAAAACACCAGAATCAATGAACCCACAATTCTATAGTCAGTCAGATTATTATATAAGCCAGCAGATAAATGAAGACATTTTTAGAAATGAAATATGCCAGAAGAAAAAGAAACCACAAGAAAACTTAGGAAACAGAAAAAATGAGATGGCAGAAATAAAACCAGATATATCAACAGTTACAATAAAGATAAATGAGTTAAATCTCTATTAAAATATTTTTCAGCTGAGTATCAAAACTGAACCCCCAAAGAGATCTAGGTATATGATATCTATAAGAGATACACCTAAAATAAAACTAAAAGGAAGATTTTTTAAAAAGATGGACATATACTAGTTAAATGTTAACTTTAAGAAGTATCAATATTAACAGAATTTAAAATGGAAATCAAGATGAAAAACATTATAAGGGTCAAAGAAGACGATTTCATAATGTAAATATATTACTCTGCTAAAAAGTCATTTTTTAAATTTAATTTTTACTTTTTAATTTTTTCTTCAGAGTGACTGGACTCCAAAAAAAGTCATTCTAAAAAATGTAAACACTGGAAAACCCAAATCCTTTGGCAAATGGAAAACAATATAAATTATAAATTATGGTAAATCTGCTCAATGAAAGATTATGCAGTTAGCAAAATTATAGCTATATAGAAACAAAGGAAAATTATGATGTGGTAAGTAGAAATATAGGATACAAGAGTGTACACAATTAGAAGTATGTAAAATCCTAAAATCCACATATGCCTATGACTGAGACCAGAAGAGCACACACAAAAATGATATATTATATTATGACATGTATGAAGTAGAATACTTTCAATACAACAATCTTTAAAAGCAAAGAGGTATCCTTTCCACACATTGTACTGTCATAAAATGAAGAAGACAGATAATTTCTGCTATAGGCAAGTGTGTGAAAGCAAGACCTAGTGCAGGCTTTCAGGAGGGTAACTTGGCAGAGTCTCTCGAACTGGAAACGTACATACTATTTGATTCAGGATTTTCCCTTCAGTGGTCTACTCTAGAGAAATTCTTACTCGTACACATATAAGAGGAAAAACAAGGGTGCTCACAGCACTGCTGTGTAATAGAGGAAATGTGAAAATGATTTGAACATCAACAGAGGACATGCTGCTAATTGCAGTTTAGCCATGCAATCAACACTGCCTTAGTTAAAGGAATGAAATAATTTATATGAATGGAAATGAAAAGAATCTAAGACATTGTTAAGTGAAAAAAGTTACAGAATATTAACTATGAACCCATAAATAAAACAGACTCCTTAACACAGCAGCCATACAAAAGAAAACTAAATATTACACGTATACATTTATAAGGGTATAAAACCACAGATAATATGGGCTCCCTCTGGGAAAGGAGTGAAATGGCAGAGTGAAGAGATGAACAGTGACTCCTGCTTATTTATTACTCTAGATGTGATCATATTATTTGAATGTTTTAATAGTATTTGTTTATGTATTAAGAGGAAGACTAAGGAGAGTGTAGGGAAGGTAAGGGAGGGGAAAATAAATCATGCTTTAGGAAGAAGCTTTAGGAAGAATGATTTCTTCTTCCAGTTTGACAACTTGCTTGCTGTATGATTTTACATAAGTCATTCAGCTATATTTCAGCCTCAAATTGTATCACTGGTATATAAAAAAAAAAGATTAACTTAAGAAAAGAAAAAGGGGAAAGATGTGAATTACAATGGTTCAGAGGCTATAAATTATAATGTGCTTTAAAAGGTGAAGGATTATCATCTCATTCTTGAGGTGTTATGAAATCACATCTTAACCTATCTTAACCTATCCCATGTAACTGACAGTCCAGGCAAACGTCTGGTTTTCAATAAATATCAAAAATGACTGTGATGACTATTCATTTTAGAATTTAAAAAGTTTGTAATCCATCATGGACTGTTAATTTTGCCAAGTTTTCATTACTTTGTCCCAGATGAAGATAGGAAAAAATAAAGAGTAAATCAAGTTATATTATTAGCCTAAGCTTCATTTAGTATGACTCATTTAAAGGAAAAAGTTTCAGCCAGGCACAGTGACTCAAGCCTGGAATCCCAGCACTTTGGGAGGCTGAGGTGAGAGGATTGCGAGTCTAGAGGTTTGAGACCAGCCTGGGCAACTTGGCGAGACTTCGTCTCTACAATAAATCAAAAAATTAGCTGGGTGTAGTTCCAGCTACTTGGAAGGCTGAGGTAGAAGGATCGCCGGAGCCCAGTAGGTTGAGGCTGCAGTGGCCATGAGCATGCCATTGCACGTTAGGCTGGGCAACACAGTGAGACTCCAGTTCAAAAATAAATAAAGGAAAACATTTCATTTCCTTCTGAGTGTGAACCATTTCACTTTATGTTTATATAAGCTTAAGCAATCAGCATGAATATTACCTCAGTAAAAGGCTCCCACTAGTGGTCAATTCTTCCTCACTTGGTAAAATACACAAAACAGTTGAATGAAATATTATAACTGATGTTATATAATTAGAGATAAAGTTTTGCTATGTTGCCTAGGCTAGACTCGAGATCCTGGGCTCAAGCCATCCTCCTGCCTCTGTCTCCCAAAGTGTTGGGATTACAGGTGTGAGCCACCGTGCCCTGCCCTGTCATCTTTTTTAAGAAAAATTTTTTATTTTTGAGTCGGAGTCTCACTCTGTCTCCCAGGATGGAGTGCTGTGGCATGCTCATGGCCACCGCAGCCTTGATCTGCTGGACTCAGGAGATCCTTCTGCCTCAGCCTTCCAAGTAGCTGGAACTACAGGTATGTGCTACCACGCCTGGTACATTTTTTGATTTATTGTAGAGGTGAGGTCTTGTCAAGCTGCCTAGGCTGGTCTTGAATCCCTGGACTTAGGCATTCCTCTTGCCTTGGCCTCCCAAAATGCTGGGATTATAGGCTTGAGCCACCACACCACCTAAGAGGAATTTTTAATACTTTTCTCTAGTAGGTGCTGGATAAAGAGTCATTACTGAACGGATCAAGTCCAAAATCTTCCACTGCTTTGGCAAGGCTCTTCTCAACTTGGCCCTAGCCCACACTTCAGCCTCATCTCTGGTCACTAAGACTAGCAGTTCTTAAACATAACACTTTGATGGTAAACTCCTGATATCCTCCAAGGTCAAGACTTCTTTGGCTGGTCCTTCCATGAAGCCCTCTCTGCACCTTCTGTTCACGTCTGTGGAATGTATTAAGTCAGGTGCGGCATCTGTACCCTTTTCTCCTTTGCTCCACGGTGCATGCCTTCGGGCAAAGAGAACTGTTGTTCTGTTCATCTTTGTTACCTACCAAAATATCCCAGTGCCCCACCATTTGATAAATGCTTAATGACTGCAAGTAGTGGCGGTGCTTTGCAAAGAGTAAGCACCTAAATATTTGTTAAAAGAAGAAAAGTATTTAAATTGCTCTTTACACATGAATTCCAATGAGAAGCATACTTGCAAAAAGTTGCTTTTTCTTATCTCTGTCGAAGTAATTTTTCCACTCCAAGATCTGTTGACTGTGTAGAATATTCTCTGAATAACCTAGTTGCAAAAGACAAACAAAACCAAGTAAAAACATTAATGATCTCTATTACTTTATCAATGCCCATCTTATCAATGTAGTTGGAACCAATTTAAGTTTTGGTTTTTTGAGTATGTCAAGCATAATTCCCAGTAAAAACTAAAATTATATTTTAAAATTCACATCTACATGTTTTATATCTGCTTTTATATTTCTGAGAATAAAAAACTCTCTCTGCTCACAAGTCTTCATTTCCCAGCTGCCCACACATCACCTCCTTTGTTTACCTCTCATTTCTAGAGTGATGCCTGATTCAAGCAATGCTTATTGGACTGGAAGTTTGCAGAAGGCAAAGGAGGTAAGAAATACCTGCTGGGCTGGTTTCATGATTAATTGGACAGAAAGATGGTTGTCAAGATGGTATGATTCAAGAGGGCATTCTGGTCATTATAGCCTTCTTCACCAGAGTCTTGAAGACTCCTGCTCTTCCAGATTCTCTATAGAAGCTGAAATACATCTGAGATAATTTATGTCCTGACTTTTAGGTGGGTATGAACATCTTCATTATTAGCTAGTGTTTTTATGAGTTCAACAGAAAAGCAATTCTGGAGAGTACCCTAGATAAGATGGGAGAAGAGGAGAAAGGAGCCAGTATGTCTAGACTGAGGATGAGTGTGCTGTGGCATGGGAGAGCGTGAGAGAAGGAAGGCAGAGGCTGCAGTCCTGGAGGCAGGAGGGCACACTTAATTCTTTTTTTTTTTTTTTGAGTTGGAGTCTCACTCTGTC